TTGTCCCCAAACCCGGAAATACTTGTTAACTGTCCCCGCCAACCCGGAAAGGCCCAGAAATACTTGTTAATTGTCCCCAAACCCGGAATTACTTGTTAACTGACCCCAGACCCGGAAATATTTTTTAACTGTCCTAAAACCGGAAATACTTGTTAACTATCCCCAAACCCGGAAATTTATATATACTCGACTCCGACTCGTGAAATCATATTGCTGTTTCTTCAAACCTAAAGACAACGGTCATATTATTGTTTGTTTTTTCAGTACGTCAACATAATTATGTCAAATAAAAATACGCAAATACTGGGTCATCGTTGTCAACTGATGACGTAATCAAGTTTGTAAATAACTTTTAAAAATATGCATGTGCCTGAAGGTTGTAAAATGCAGTTTATAAATCATAATCATAAACAGAATATTGGGTTATCGTTGTCTACGTGTGACTAGCGATGACTAGCGATGACCAGCGATGACTAGCGATGACTAGCGATGACTAGCGACAACTCAGTTACATATTTTCCCTATAAATAATTTGCTAACCAGTCCCCGCAAATCTTCCCTCCCAGGTAATAAATAATGAATGGTACCTAATGTAGGAAAGAAGTGCAAACACACGCACAATATATTGTGACGTTGACAACTTACCTTGCTTTTGGGTGCCACCCAATAGATAACCCCCATAATTGGCCAGAATAGAAAAAGGGTAAATATGATAAGTGTTTTGGTGAAAGGACTTCGTTGCCTCCAGTTCGGTATACCCGAGTACCACATCGTTGATAACTGATGTTGACAGTGAGGATGTGCCACAAACTGAAATAAAACAGCAATACATGTAAATTGTTTAAATCACGTGGTATATTATTCAGTTCTATATTATATATAACCATATCGCAACATATATCTACCATTACCCACGATGCATCACTTATATCGCGACTCATACTATCTACCCAGAATATAGTGTTATCTTGCGACATAATGCAGTACCATGTCGCGAGACTTCATTTCAACTACTCATGTACCTCGAGAGTTTATATGTTATGCGTATAAAACATTAATTTCTCACTCGTACCACTACTGCGTCAAATAAGTGAACTTATCACCATCAAAATATACACTTCACACAGGTACCCCCTCACACACATACATCCCAACATTTATGTTGACTTATTTAAATATAACATTCTTTTCTCACACCAGGTAACCCCCCCACCACCCTCAATGTAACAAATAAGTTGAATTATCTGTTTTAGAACGTTCATTTCTCGGAAGTACTTAGCTAAACGTCATTGATTACGGATGCACGTATCTACTTAAATGTACATTCATTTCTTGCACGTAACAACCTTCTAAATCTGTATAAAAGATTCATTTGTCATGCTTATGTCCTCCATTACGGAAACTACTTCGACTTATCTGCATAAGAGAATATCCATTTCTCACACGCAACTTTGAGTGAAATGCTTGAGAGGGCTTGTATCTTACCTTTTTCTGATTGTAGTCGATTGCTAGTTTGAGTCTGACCAACCCCTGGTCGTTATTATTAGACATGTCGGACTGGTAGTCCATGCTTTCGTTTTGATTTAAAATTGATTCCACCTCTGTAGTACTTTGGCACATACCGATAAGGTCTGTTGAGTAGTCTATGCACATATTCGCCAATGTCTTGTATTCGTTCTAAAGATTGAATGTGAACGTATTAGTGATAAGTCATTGTCAAAGTCAATGTTTTCAATTTGGACACAGTGCAATAGAATACATGTAACTCGGGTGTTTTTCACTAACTATGCATATAACAAAACATAACGTGGTCGGTCTACTAATTATGTATACAATCAAGCGTGTTGTTTAGTGATTAAAGCGGGGAAGTCTTACCTCCGCATGCGGCAGATGGCCATAGCGTGTCATTGTTTACAGACAAGCGTCTACCCCTGAGCCTTTGCGTTTTTAGCGTGTGTTGTTATCGTCGCTTAGGACTCAATTCCCGCGCGTGCGCAGGTGAGGACCCTCCCGCTCTAAATACATATCGCTGTGGCTGCAGACCTGCTACGAGACAGCGGGTCCACGAGAGAGAGGTCCACCACAGCGCGATCAGTCAATTACTGTATAAGTAACAGTTGCAGAGTTTTGAGATTTACTAAAATACAAACATGTGCAACATTACATTGCTAAAACTAAAAGAACTGAAATTACTTATACAAAATTTACTATATTATTGGAACTATAGAAAAGAGCTGTTGTATCAACCAATGACCACTTTCCCGGAAGTAGCGAGACCGGGGTACAGAAAGACGTTTGCTTTTGTTATGGCGGCAATGATTTTCGGTAAAAAGCAATTTTATTATTGTGGCGTCCATTGGAACATCAACCAGCAATCATGAAATCATTCAGTGGTTGCTAGTCCCATTGATGAAACTGCATTAAACTACTCTAGAAATATTAGTTTTACAGTCGTGGAGCAAAATAGAGCAAGCTGTGCAGTGTCACCAATGGGACTGGGTCACCAAGTGGCCACTGATTGATTTTACTCCCCCATACAGCACCCTCGATGTTCATCGCGTTCCCAGAATACAAAGCAAATCAAACATGGCTCTTATCACAGTTCTTTCTTATTTACTATTGTTGATATTTGAACACAGTAAAATGAATAGTGCTCCTGAAATTTGAATATTGGAAAATAAACAGCGCTTAAAGAAAATATTTGATACACGTTATGCAATTTTGGCTCCATTAAATTACTGACAATACAAAGTGCCCTTTAGACTACTAACAATACAGAGAGGCCCCCTAGATTACTGACAATATCGGATGAGGTATTGAGTGTCTTACCTTAAACTCTTTCTCTATATCTGAAAGTTCGATAAGGTCCTTGCTGAGTTGGAAAGCAGTGAGTATGGGGTCCGGACTTGTTAGCGAGATATAAGCCGATGAAGATAATCCCCTATAAGCGTTAATCCGTGAACGTGAGTATTTCAAGGGATCAAATAGTCGTTTATTAGTGCAGCTAGTACAATGACATAGACTATGATGGGGTTTCGGTATCCGATCCCCTCGCTGCAAAAACAATTGAATAATGTCGATTTCATTGAAATGGGCAGCGAGCATTATTGGCGTGACGTCATTATCGAATTTAGAGCTGTGAACTTCCGGTTGGAAGTAATTCGACATACTGCCTAGTCGTACTTTATCCTTGCTTTTTTTGAACATTGGATGGCCTAAAATGGCCTCCGTTATTCGGATGTACCCTTTGCTTATGGCAACCATCAAGGCTTCGTGAATGTTTCGGATTTCTAGAGTAGGATAGGACAATAAATAGAGAACCACTTCCAGGTGTTCGTTGCTAGCCGCAATTTCGATCGCTGTCCTGTCTTTGTAATCGCTGCAATTGATATTAACGTCAGAAGAGTCATCGCCCTCTAAGAGGGATCGCAATGATGGCAAATCGCCATACTCGGCGGCTTTCAAGAATTTGCGATTTCCATCGGAGAGTTCGACTGTGCTTGTCAGGACCCGGATGTTATTAACATGATTGAAAGATCGCCGACGCATGACATGGGCGTGGTGGTCCTCGTCTCCGTCAGCTATGCAACTGCAAGGGAAACAAAAGACTTGGTTAGTTTTTTTTTGTAATCCGAAAACGGATATGTCGATAACACCACTCTGCGTCGTCATGACTACCATACTCCTCAACGTAAAATTAGCGCAGTGTTTAATATTAAGATGTTGCAATAACTATTCATTATTATAATGTGTTATGTCTTCTAAGCTATTTTCTGTATTTCACTACGAATTAAAAACGTATACAGTAAATGAGTAACAGTAAATTAACAAACAAAATAATACACTCAATCACACTTATTTTACTTTTTATTTACTCTACTATTGCTTACTTACTTTTGTAGTTATTCATTATTAACTTTATTACATTTTAAACACCAAATTAGAAATGTGAAATTTTCTACACGACTGTAAGAAAGCTGTTATCAATCAATATATATATATATATATATATATATATACATATAAAGAAAATAGACCATCGACCTTGCAATGCGTAAGTGTTGTGTATGTTAGGTTAGTTGAAATATATCATAGTTTCAACCATTGGTAGCTTTCATTTTACACATTACATGTATATATATAATTTTGGAGCAAAAAGACACGATTTTCCATTGTATATGGATTTTTATCTTGATAACACTTTTTGTTTAAGAAAAATGTTAAAGGTTATTTTGTAAAATGTGACAAAAGAGCTAATGTGCAGCTACTACGTAAATGTGGTTATAATAAAATTGTGGTCGGCAAACGTGTTTACTGGTTATTTCCAGCGCCTGTCATCGTTGTCCAGGTGTAACACTGCCACGCACTGACACGCATCCTCCCGACGAGTTCACGACGAGCTCAACTTCACGAACAGCTTGTGCATAGTTCACGACCCGGTCGCTAAATTTTGTTATGACCAAAATTTTGAATATTTCAAAATTCTCGTCTTGACATGGCACGCAGTCACGACGGGTTTACGCACTGACACGACTCGAGTCGAGCCAATGCGTGCCACAGAATCGTGCAAGTGTTTGATTATATGTCACCGCACTGTGACGTCATTGTTTACATTTTTGCCAACCAGCAAGCAAATGTTTAGTGACAAATGTCGCTCACTGATAAACACAGGCTCGCAATCTGCTGTTGCCAACGCTGCCCATAAGTTGTTTATAAACAGAACACATAATGTATAATTAAACACGGTAGGTACTACCTTCCATGATTTAAAGCGGGAGGGT